CCGAACACGGACCCATAATCTTAGTGCGTATGATAATTAAAAGTATCACCGATTGCCTGCAAAAAGCGATTTACCTAACACAGATTTCAAAGATGAATTCCACCTGGTCTCACCAAACGTTGTTTATTCAATCACCGCGTGGTGAGTGGTGGTGTTCTCCTGTACACAACGAAAAGCTATCCGCAAGCAGCTAGCTATCAAGGCTGGCCTCAACCACTGAACGGATTCAGTTCCTATCATCGTGTCAGTGCTTTCGGCGCGTGGCGTTGAACATTGTTCTCCAGTACACAACGAAAGCTGCGCTCACATGAGCATTCATAGAAGGAGGAAGAAGCCGCACCGTTATTGATCGGAATCAGGAGCTCTTCGTGAGTCGCTGTGGGCCATCTATGCCAAGCGCGTCACCCTCATTCCAAACAACATACAGCTCACCAGCCTCATCTGTGTTTAGCATCCTAATAGGTCAGCATTACTCAACCATCACGACAAAAGGGTCCTTTTCAGGACCATCATACATTTTAAAAAGAGTATTTTTTGGACATTTGTCAAGGTCAGCAATCGGATGTTCCCATATCAAGATAGAGCTGGAATTAGGGCGTAACAGCTTTTGTAAACAATGACTTCTTTCGATGATGTCTTGAAAGTCAAGGCTCGCACACGCAAATCAACATCACCATCAGGTAGGGTAAGACTTCTCCTACCAGACTGTAATGTTGGTTTGCGTGGGCGTGCCATGAATTCCTAAAAATCATCGAGAGAAGTCATTGTTCTTCTGTACAAAAGATGTTATGCCTAATTCCAGCTCCATTTAGATATGTTTAAATCTAACATACCATGTACTTTAAAAGGCAACATTGGGGGTGCAATTTCAAAAACCAACGTTGGTCGTATCATGAAAGTGGTCTGATTTAGATCCAGAGATGATGGATTTTAATTCTTAATACGCCAATCGATAGGAATTTTTTCTACGAATCTGTTAAAATTAATTTTCATTTTTTTAAAAGTCATTATTGAAAATTGCACGAATGTGCAACTGTTGCTATGATAATTAAAATTATCACCGATTGCCTGCGAAAAGCGCTCTCCCTAACACTGATTTCAAAGTTGAATTCCATCCGGTCTCACCAAATGGTGTTTATTCAATCCAGTACTCAACAAAAGGCTCCCCGCAAGCAGCGAGCTGCAGCCCACATGAGCGTCCATAAAAGGAGGAGGAAGCCGCACCGCTATTGATCGGAATCAGTAGCTCTTCGTGAGTCACTGTGGGCCATCTATGCCAAGCGCGTCATACTAAAGAGTATAAACAGAGAGAACCCCGCTCAAATTCCTATTCCTACACAAAACACAAGCTCCTGCTGCTGTTAATAAATAACATTTATTATATAAGACCACGTAGTCCTACGTCACCATTGCGAACAACCCCATAGTCCTTTGAATTTTTTTTTTATATTTTTTTCTAATTCTTGGAAATCAGCTTTAGATGTACTACAACTCCACAAGGTACTGTACGAAACACCGACTAAATTTCTGAACTTAGAGAATACGTGAAACTCTATAGTATGCGGAGTAAATAACTGCAATTTCAAAAAAAATTTGCAGTATAGCTTATATTTGTAGGCTCAACAAAGTTTTGAACGTTGTCCTAATTTATTATTCGAATCCATGAAGCTTTGAGGGACCGCAAAGCATGATGTGGGACATAAGCTGTATTAGAAAATAACATATTCAGGACAACCAATGTGCTTGCCGCCAGAGAGCGACTTTTGAATACCCTCGAGGCCCAAGGAAGACAACCCTATATCCCTATCAGAGACGTGTTGGGTACCCGCGATCCCTGCTATATGCAGTCGATTTATGTGTTTCTGCAAATGTCTAGTATAAGAATTTAATTCGTTTTGTATCTCTTTATTAGTTTTTGTTTGTCTTGTCCCCCGTCTCGATGAGTCTCATCGTCGCCCACTGGTCACCATAGCCGGTCGAACTCCAGACGAATCTAGAACCACACTACCATTCATACTGGCGACAACGCTCTGATGAGACAACGAAACCTTACCCCCAAGCTCCTCCCCTTTTCCTATCCTTCGACAATGTACCTCTCTAACCTCGAGTAAGCCGCGAGTATTCGGCCCAACTCCTACTAGACATAGAATTAAGTGAATTTTGTTACAAACAAAGAAGAATGAATTATCGGCTCCGTAAAGCTAACGCGATTGAGCCTTAAAAATAAACGAATTAGATAACCAATGTGCTTGAAATACAGATGTTAAATTTCTACAGACTCAATGCGATAGACAAGAAAAATGATGGAGGTACATTTATCATTTTCCAGGATGCTTTCATGAACTGGCTGTGTTGGTGTTATATAAGATTGGATAAGAATGGATGTAATTTCGGCCTAAATGCCCCTAACTGGGGCCCATGCATAAATTCAGCAATCGACTAAATTATCAATAGCGACCAAAAATATCCATAAGTACCGTCCCAATGACGCGTTCATCTAAATAAAATTGGAGACGAACCAGCCCAGGGCTGAAAGTCTCCTTAATAAAGATATAAAGTCTCCTTAAATAAGATAAGATAATTTTGATAGTCTTAAAAATGGTTTGCTTTGTAAAATTTCACAAAAAAAGTTTCACCGAAGAGTTCAAAAATATGTCCAAAAGTTGTTGTTCAATGATTTATGTTAATTTTTAAACAATTATCTTAAAAATTGTACAGAAGATTGCATTTATCATTAGCTTTTAAATTAAAAATATTCTTAACAAAAGAGGGTATTTTTTGTTTTTTTTTTTTAAGTTTTGAAACATTTTTGGATTTTTTCCTAACAGTTTTTACCATCTTCATTTTTTTCTGAAAAGGAATCATGTTTTCATACAACTTTGCTTCAGGCGTCATTTCGATTGAATTAAAGTTAAATTTTTAGCTCAAATGTGTATAATCTACGATAACAAACAATTATGCAAAGTTTCATGCAGATCGGAAAAGGTCGCGTCGATTCGTCATTAAAGCTCTTCAGACTCATCAAAGTATTGTAAGAACCCTGATCAAACCGGTAAAGCTTCGTGGAGGCCCATAATATCATGCGGGGTATAATGTTGTAATGACGTAGTATTTCGGATTCTTAAAATCATCCTGTAGTTTTGATCTTCATGTTCTACAAGCTCATCAAAGCCTTATACGAATCCATGAAGCTTCGTGGCACCTCATGTGGGACTTAAGCTGTATTATATAATCCAAAGTGCCAGAAATTCAAATCTAAAATTTCTACAAGCTCAACGAGGTATTGTGCGATGATTCGACTAAACTTGTGCACCCGTGGAACACATGGGCCTCCATAATAACATCTGGATACACTTTCATGTTCTCTGAAAAATCCACGCGATTTTCCTTAGATGAAAGACCGAAGCTTTCAACATTGCCCATATTACTTGATTTAATAAAAAAAAAAAAAGAACAGCAATCACAGCCCCTCGTGAAGCACGGCCGTTAATTATAGCAGACAAATGCCTTCTGTGCAAATGCGATTTTCGGAATCTGGGATAACTGTGAAATACCCCACAATATTGGTATCTTCGGAATCGGAGTGACATGTAGGAACCAGAAATCCATGCTTGACGCCATTTTGAAATCCAAAAATACCCATATTGTGGGCTATTGACAGTATTTTCCAGGTTTTCTTGAACCGGATGCCGCCATCTTGGATTTCACCCTACACGTCACCCTGATTCCAAAAATACCCATATTGTGGGGTTTTGACAGTATTTCACAGTTTTTCATGAACCGGATACCGCCATCTTGGATTTCAAAATGGCGTCAGGCATGGATTTCCGGTCCCTACACGTCTCCCCGATTCCAAAAATACCAATATTGTGGGCCAAAAAATTAGATTTTTTTCGAACTAATTCGATTTACGAAGTCCTGGTTTGGTTCGTAAATGGAGGTTCCAGTGCATAGGTTTTCAAAATTATTTTGAAGTTGAGATCTCGATGGTATTCATAGTATTATCAAGGATTTATACTTCTATTGACAATATTTCAGAGGTTCTTCAAATCACAACGGAGTTGAGGCTTAAACCTTTTAATAGAAGGATTCCATGATATCCGACTAACAGTACAAATCTGTAGCATATCGTGGAAACATATCGCATCATGTTGGGCAAACTGCTGTGTTAACAAAATATCTTAGGTTCTTCAAAGTGTTTTGAAATTCAGATCTTAAAGTTTTTTTTCAGTTATAGTCACTTTAACGCTCTTGGGTCATTTGTGACTTGTCCGGGGGTGAGATTTGAACTCGTGATTTTGGCGTGAGAGGTATGGATGCTAACCACTACGCCGGGGTCACCCCCAGATCTTAAAGTTTTAAAGCCTTATCGACTTGTTGCTATATGTCAAAACAATCTACATATATGAGTTCGTATTGAGCTCCATGGAATCTTATTACATCATATTTGACACGCTTGGATTCAAAACAAATATTCTAGTTTTACAAGATTGATGATGGTCGGCTGGCTCAACGAAGGCTTTTACGTTCTCGCATCTAACGGTACACACCCAACCGAGGAATGTAAGATTTGCTTACAACAATGAAGGATTCATCATCGCAGGATGTTAGTGGAGCGATCATTTTCTCTCATATCCGATTTCGTTTATTATTCTGCTGAACGGAGAGAATCGTGGCAAGTGTGTGCGTCGTTCTACAATGTTATAAAAAAACCTTAATGCTTGCTTGAATACTCGAAAGCGAAGACAAAATACGATTTAAAAAAGATAACAAATCATTGCATTGTCTGCATGGACAACTTATACCATTCTCTGTGGTATTCGATAGAAAATGCAACTAACATTCAATGTAATAAATGTTTGGTTTGCGTGTAAAGGAAGGAGCGAATTCTCAATCCCAGTTCATTTTTATGATGATGGATTGTAGTTTTGATGTAAATTTGCAGTAGTGCATTACAAATACATTAAATTTACAACCCATCATTATGAAATTAATCCAGAATTCTGTGAATCTTTCCTAAACTCTCACCCACGTTTCCGTTAACCCATAAAAATTGATCCCTTCTATAAACCTACGGGATCTTTGATTAAAAGGGTAAAACTTTCTATTGTTCCATGATTCGAGCTTCTTGCAGTCATAAGAAATGGTTACAGGGAAATTTTATCTACAATGAAACTGCTAGACAGGGGAAGTTAGATTTTACATAATACATACACCCATATATACACAAAGAATTCAGTTCATACTTAAAATGTGTAGGGGTTGAGGTTGGATATGTTAAAATCGGCATCGTGAAGGCCGTTGCTAAGGCTGAAATCTAGCAAGACGTCATCACCTGCTTTGTCCGATAAACCGATATCTACCCCACCGTCCAGACTAAACAATCCAATCATCTGGTCTCACGGAGCTAGAAATAAACCATCTGTTTCCAAGCAGACAAGTTTGCTTAGAAAGTCTAGTAGTATCACTAACGAAACACCGACCTCGCTGCACATGTGCAACCAGCAAAAGCTAGCAGGTGCCCCATTATCAACCATTTTGAACTAAACAGTGGAAAAATTGGAGTAAACTAACGCACAAAAAAAAAAACAATGTTGAAAAGTAATAAAAAACACCTGTTGATCGGACGATAGCAATTTGCTTCGACTCTGTCGTGGTGATCCAGACGGCTCGCAGGAAAAGCTCGACGGATGATGGCGAAATTGGACTTTGCACCAATCGCATTTCGTTTTGCGAACACGTGCCATTTAGAGCCAATTAGCGGGAAGTAAACAAACATGGCACCCTGAGTCATCAGTGTTTATGATGAGATTCGATTGCGTTTCGGTACCGAGCAAGGTGTGAACAGATGGATTGGTTATGCTCCTAGATTTGCTCACCTGATGATTACCTACGTATGAACACCGACCGGGTGATGTGGAAACGCATGGTACCTAGCTTTCCGAGCGAATAAATTCGATAAACAAAACCTTACATAAAATCAACAGAAATGCTTCCGGAAGTCTCCGCTTTCTTCGTCAATGATGGCCTTAAAAATAATTCCTTACCTAGTTGTTCGGTGAAAAGTAAAATAAATACTGATGAAATTCGATGAAACCTTAATTAATATCTTCTGTACAGAAAAAAAAAAACAGTAGGTGAAATAAACCGCACTAGGTATAAAAACAAATGTACAAAAAGTAAAACAAAAATAATCCTTACAAACAGGATGAGATTTCTCCCTACCAGGCTAAAAACTTTTATACATTCTAGAACGACTTCTATGCGCTAATGAGTTTCGTTCGTCCTATCATCTCCTAACCTGCTGCATTCTTTCTTATTTTGGCATCCATTTGTCAAAAAATATAGCTAAATATTTCCCAACATTCCTAAGCTTAACTAGTAGAAAGCAATAAGTTACAATCAGGGAATAATTAAGTTAAAACTGATTTAAAAAAAACATTCACCTAAATATCTCAAACTCACACTTGTCTCACTCGATCTCACTTGTTTCCTACTCTCGCTCGCGTGGTAGCATTCTTTGCCTCACTCCCTTTCGGTCCTGTGGTGGTCAATGTTAGTCTAAGAATACAATGGCGGTGGTGCTCGTCGAATACTGGGATCCTGCGAAGGGCCGTGAGACGGCTGTCGATGCTTCTTCCGATGTTGATGGTTGGTCAGGGGACTGACAATTGTATTTTTCTGCTGTAATCGTTGGGCTGGTTGCTGGTGACGTTTCTTCTGAGGAGCAGACGGCTGCTGCATCAAGAGATGCGTTTGATGAGATTTGAAGAACGAATTGGTGGCATTAGGGTAACAATTAGTATCCCGCCTCCAGTTCGGTAACTGAATGCCCTGTCTTTGGCACTCATGTGCATAGGCTGCTAAACTGTCACAGTAGCACTGCTTATGGGGACATTCGCACATGTCAATTTTGCAGGATTCGAAATAATGTTCCGGGTTCAGCTGGGAGTTGCATTCACCGAAAACGTCCATTTTCAAAATTTTACATAACGTGAAGAATTTTTTCGATTTGCATTGAGAGTTCTTTGCAGCCATCTCTTTCTTCCTAGGACGCGTGCATGCCTTCTCTCCCCCAACCGCCCACGACTGTGCAAACTTCCACACATTATCGGTCATGTTGATGCCGGTCCTGGAGAACATGTCATCCCGAAACACGTTGTTATAGTTCCCGCACAGTCCACAAAGTTTATTTTTATAAATAATAGGAACCTCCACCTGAATAAAATTATTCCCATCCCAAGTCAGCTTGATTCCGATACTGGTGCTCACAATCACTTCCGTGCCATCGTCGCTTTTGTAAACATCCAACACGTCATCCAGCTTGAACGGAGGGTCCACTCTACTGCCATTGATCTTGACTCGCATTTTCTGACCAAGATTTACTTTCAAGTTGCCCAATTTTAACGTTACCGTTTTGGTCCAAGATGAAGATTTTGTCAACCTCGCGTCATTGGTCACCCGGATCGAAAAGGTGTGACCCTTGCAGTCTGCCGTCAGTTGATACTTGCAAGAACCCTGAAAGCTGTAAAAGTACCCGTCGAATGTTTTGTAGTGTGGATCCCCAAATACCGTGCATACTCCGGGACTTTCGACGCACTTGGAACAGCATTCGTCTTTGGGCTTGATGAGCGTCTCGTTGGGTTTGCATTTCTGAGCAGGACATTGGATTCTGGCACATCGGACCTCACCCGATCGACATTCGCAGGAAGCACACGCATTTAAGCTCCAGGTTTCACCGTTCTGAAATAAAAGAGAATAGCGAAAGTTGTTAGTTGTACACCAAGAGGAACGTTGTTACATTTATAGCGGAACTTCTCGAAAAGCTCAATGGCAATATACCGGTAATAATCGAGGCTATAATATCACAAGCAAAACACACACAGGGTCGAATATCATAAATCAATCGGCTTATTTCGACGAAATCGGAAAGTGTCTGTGTGTGTGTGATGTATGCAAGTGTTAGTTACTCACTTTCGCAAAAAATGGCTGATCAGATTTTAGTAGAACAAGTTACAGCTTATGTGTTTTGGGCTCCAGTAAAATCTTATGTTTATACCAATCGGATACGTGGTTCCGGAGATATGAGCAAAAAATGTAAATTTTTCAACTCACTCTTTTCTCGGAACCGAGTGAATCTGGTTCCTTTTTGTTTGCAACATTATTGATGTTTATTCGGATCAGACATTTTGTTCCGGAGAAATGATCAGAAGTGTAAAATTTTACAATTAAACAGATAAACTTACTAACTTTTCTCGGAGATGGCTGAACCGATTCGAGTGCAACCGGTTAATTTTTTTTTTGTATCTGATTCCCATAAAACCCAACTAAATTTTATCACAATCAAACATTTGGTGGAGACATCATGTCCGGACCAATTTCCCCCAGTGAACCTTATCGCATGAAAATACAAACCCACATTAGGGTGCTTCATTTTGACAAAAAAAAAAGAGTTAAATTTGTTGCATTTATTGGTAAAGATTGATGAAAGTTTAGAGATCGTGCAAATGGTTTGAAGTTTATATGGAGATTTTCTTGAATTACTATAGGAATATCACTTACATTGTTCTAATTTTGGTTCTAGTTGTCCAAACGTTGAAAAAATATAATATGTTGCAATGACAATGACCAACAAGCCTGTTGTTGTTGTGATGATATACATAGATATTGTTGTCTGGCACATATTCAACTATCAGTTTATCCTATTTTGTGGACTATACTAAAGTCTGGAACGCGCAAAAATTGGTCAACTTCACATTGGTTTATTTTTTTTAAATGTATAAAAAAACTGAAATGCTGCATTTGGAAGTTGAGTGTATATACAATGGTTGCTATGATGAGTTTTCACCGTTTGCTTTCCAGTTTTCAAAATGACGTCCAAGCAAGATAATCGGATGTTCATATGCACGTGTGTTCTAAATAGCAGCATTTTCATTACTACGGGAACCATCAATCAAGAGATCTACGTCCAAGAGTGCCTCAAAAATCAGCTGCTACCATTCCTAAAGCAACATAATAGACCTGTGCTGTTCTGGCCGGACTTGGCGAGCTGCCACGATGCGGACAACGTGGTTGTGGTATCCATATACCACAACCTTCCCAACAACCCAGATCTCCGCCTTATCGAACGGCCTTGGTCAAACGGAATCTTAAAAAACTAATAAATTCCTTGGAAAACGAGCAGCAGTTTAAATCTAACTGGCGTTCGGCGGCGAATAAGGTCGATGAGACCACTGAGAAAAATGTAATGGAAGGGGTTAAGCGGAAGGCACGGCAGTTCGGATTTGGCAAACCAAAAGAATAAACGAACATTTTTTCCTTTAAATATATGAATTGAACTACCAAAAGAAAAATAATGAAAAATTATGGTATGAATTTTGACTGAAAGAAACGATTTTTTTGTCGACAAATTTTTACGCTTCCAGTCTTTATATCGAAAAACTTGTGTGGCAAAATAGTGTCAGGTTTTGAACGCTTATAACATGGTAATTTATGAATGAAATTCAATTTTTAACCACACCATTTTAAACAGATTGAATATTAGATTTTTCTGGTATAAACATTATAGATGTTTATCATTAGCTAACTATTGAAAATTCATCCAAGTTTTTAGCAGTAACCAACCAATAACGTGCTCGCTCGCTATAATTATTCAGAAAACAAAGACGAATCGGTACCACTGTCATTTTTGGCGTTACCGCGTTGCGAAAAAAGGTCAGGTTTTGATCACTTTTAACTCTGTCAATAGCGGATGGATTTTAATTATTAACAAGCCAATCGATTGAAAGTCAATTTCAATATTCAATAGGTCACTATTGAAAATTACACAAATGTCCAACTGTTGCAATGGTGATCAAAATCGAATTCAATCCGCTCTCACCGAACGGTGCTTATTCAATCACCGTGTGTTGTGGTGCCCGATCGGGCGTCATTAGCAGCAGCAGTAGCAGTGCTTTCTGCACGTGGCGATGAACATTGTTCTTCAGTACATAACGAAAGGCTGCCCGTAAGCAGCGAGCTGTAGCCCACATGAGCGTTTATTCGCCGAAGAAGGAGGAAAAAGCCGCACCGCTACTGATCAGATTCAGTTGATTTTCGTGAGTCGCTTTGGGTCATCTATGCCAAGCGCGTCACTCTCGTTCCAAACAACATACAACTCGTCAGCCTTATTTGTGTTGAACACCCTAATACCTCAGCATTACTCAACAATCACGCCAAAACGGTTCTTTTTAGGACACCATAAATTATTGTTGTTTAAGAGCTAATTTTCATTGAACGTTCGCTCGCACTGGTGACAGCCACATCACCTAAAAAGCTCTTTGATAATGTATCCAGCAACCAAACGTTTGTGGTCAAATGCGTAACAGTATTCAAGTGGTACATACCAATTCTCGCAATGACCGAATACCACATGACCTTGTCAATCAACCTGAAACACCTCGAAATAAGATAAGGTTTTCTCCATGATGCTAGAAAAAAAAAAACAAAAAAATCTCGAATTTATATGATTGATCGCAAATATCTCACGATTGGCAAATTTTAGTAAGAAATTCCTCTCATCAATTTTTTTGCATTTTTTTTTTAATATCTATTGAATAATCCAAAAATTCCGTGCGTTTTGTGCACGAACATGCTTAATTTTCTCATCAGAAAACGTGGCGTTTCCGTGATGGGAAAAAGTGGTTTCCCTAACACAATCGCCGAATATTTATACCGAGTACGCAATCCTACGTCAAATCTACGGTCGAATCTTGGATATAACCTCTTACTATTTTTTTTTCTTTGCTTTTTCTCTTCATTGACCTACATACATCAGTAAAATACAGAAAAAAGGTGGAACTTATAATCAAAGAGCTGCTCAAACACCCACCAAACGGAAGCATAGGACTCGTTCAAATATTACGAGGCCTGAGGCCTCGTAAATATATAATATATATAAATACATGAGGCCTAGTATCAAAATTTTGTATCGGGTGGTCAAAATCAATTTTTATTTGCTTCTTTTTTTACTCCAAAAAATATTTTTATGCTCAAAAAATGTATGTACAAATAAGCTCCGATAGAAAAATTTGATACTAGCCTCAAATAAGATCAACTAAGATTTCGTTTGGTGGGTATATCAGCGATTCTGATTTTTTTTTTCTGTTTTTCTGACAGAAACACTGTGGATACTCTATGCCGAGGGAAGTATGGACAATTCGCAACTCGAAAGATTGTCTAGACCGGACCAGGAATTGAACCCACCGCCTCCGACTTGGTAGTATCAACCGGTGGAAACTAACGATTTTAAATTGGCTCACACTGGACTAGCCTATCGGTCCCAAGTACATCGATAATCGTACCCCATTCTAGTCGAAATTGGAGTGCTAAACTATGTTTGTTTTGATTTGCTATGAAAGTTTGACAGACAAAATGAGACCGAAGATTAGAGCTGAGCCAAAAAGTTGAGCACGTTTCTTCGGGACCTTCTAGTCTTGTCTAGTCTTCTAGACCTCTATGGTAGTATCGTGCAATACTGACTATATACTATCTGAGACCCCGATTTGATATATTCACAAACCGCAATGATCATTATATTATATGATAGAACTCCATAGAATTTTGGTCAACATTCCTAAGATTGAAAAAAAGATCATAACTCTTAATAATTCTAAGAAAACATGATTACATTTTAATCGCGTAAAATTTTTAACTGATATTTTTCCGAGTTTAAAAATTTTCAAATATTTTATTTTCTTGTAAAAATTACATCTCCACAGTTCAGTTTGGGTTCTACCCAAAACGGTCAGTTACAATCGATTAGACCGAATTCGTGTCGCTCTGCGTTCGGACCATGGACTCTGGCGGGCAAATCGACGCTGTTTACACTAATGGTTGCACTTGACCGAGTAGAGCTCAACATTCTTTTGAGCAAGCTTGAAAAATTTGGAGTGTCTGCATCCTTCATCCCGTTCGCTTTGCGTTAAGATTGGAGCTTCTCGTTCTGAAGTGTTCACGAACGTTTTCGGCGTTCCCATTGGCCTTGCTAGACAATTTATCTGGAGGGGGCCTAGATAATTATGGAGAGGGGGCGTATAATTCTGGAGGGGGCCTGGCCCCCCTGGCACCCCCATTAGCTACGCCAATGGGCGTTCCCCATGGAAGTAATCTGGGACCCCTTCTGTTTTCGCTTTTCGTCAACGAGCTTTCGTGTCTACTGCCACCTGGATGTCGGCTACTCTACGCTGACGATGTCAAAATGTATGTGGTTATCGGGGAGTTGCAGCTGATAGTGGATCGTATGCAGAGTTGGTGCTCCCGTAGCTTCTTGACGCTCAGCATCAACAAGTGCAATGTGATATCATTTCACCGCAAACAAAACCCGATAATATTTGATTATTCCATTTCCGGACAAACATTAGAGAGGATTAGCCAGATCAAAAATTAGGGGGTTTCACTCGGCTGTGAATTGACCTTCAAACTACAATGACATCCTGACTAAAGCTAACAGGCAGCTTGGCTTTATGTTCAAAATATCTGAAGACTTTCGCGATCCGCTTTGCCTGCGGGCGCTGTATTGTTTGTTAGTACGTTCAATCTTAGAGTATAGTGGTGTCGTCTGGTGCCCGTACCAAGCATGCTGGATAGCCAGATTTGAGAGTGTACAGAGAAAGTTTGTTCGCTACGCGCTTCGTCGTCTGCCCTGGCGTGACACGGCTAACTTGCCGTCTTACGTGGATCACTGTCGTCTGCTTGGAATTGAC